AGAAGAATCAATTATCTATACACACAGCGAATGGCAACAACAAAAATCGTGAACAGCAATCCATAAAATAGTTGCGATCCATCAAAACAAAATTCTTTACCCTTTCATTAACTTAATATATTTCGTTTTCCTCACTTAATAAACACCTAATCTAGTTCTTTAAAATTTAAAAAGACAATAAAAAACAATAAAAAAATAAAATAAAAATAAAATCTTAATTTCTCCCTCTCCTTTTCATTTTTTTTCTAAAAAAAAAAAAAAAAAAAAAAAAAAAAAAAAAAAAAAAAGGATCTTTCTCTCCTTTGCATGGGAATGGCGGGATGCTCGCATGACGTCATCATGACAGCTGATGCTTGGCTTTTGGTTGCGTGTGTGTGTGTGTGTGTGTGTGTGGTGTGTTTTGTATGAGTGTTAATATGTATTGTGATTATAATATGTAATGTATGTATGTATGTATGTATGTATGTATATATATGTATGTATGTATATATGTACGTATGTGTATATATATATGTATGTATGTATATACAAACGTACATACGTATTTGCGCATGTTTATCTGCCTGTTTATTTATATGCACTTAAGCATTCTATCTGTTCATCTGTTTATTTCCCCTTACCCTTCCCCCCCCCCCCCCCCCCCCCCCCCGTGCACGCTAAAACATACATCAGTGCACATGAAGCGAGATACCCCCACCCCCCTTCCTCCCGCACCCCCACACCCCCTTCCCATCTCTTCCCCAACCCTTCCTTCTTAACTCCTTTTTTTCTCCTTCCCCGACCCTCTCTTTCTAACCCTTTCCTTCCCTTCCCTTCTTGTCTCTTCGCTACCCTTTCCTTTTCTACGTCCGCTCCCTTTCCCCCCTTCCCCCCCCCCCTCCCTTCCCCATCCCCTCCCTCCCCTACACTCTTCCCCCCCTCCTCTTCCTCCCCATCCCTTCCCTCCCTAACCCCCCCCCCCTTACACCCTTCCCTCCCTACACACCTCCCTTTCCCCTCCCTCCCTTCCCCACTCCCCCCCTTCTCCATCCACCCCTCCCTTCCCTACACCCTCCCTTCCCCTTCCCCCCTACACACTTCCCTCCCTTCCCCCCCTAAACCAACCGGCCGCTAAATAAACGCACAATGACTTTCTCTCCCACGGGCGGAACCCGCTATGGCACACATTCCCCATCTCACCACTCACTCGGTACCGGCCCCTCGCAACTATCGCCCACCCGCTCACGCCCGCACGTCGCTCGCTTCCCTCCACGCGTCCCGTTACACACACAACACAAAAACAAGAAAGCTAACACCAACTCCCCATATACACCCATCACCACCACCTGTACACTCTTCCCTCCCCCACTAGCAACCACTACTCGAACCACACTATACCATGTCACATCAACCATCCAACGTTCACGTGCACTCCACCTTCCCTAGTCAACCAACCCCCCTAACTCTCCATCCCCACACCGCTACCACTTCCCCGTACACCCGACCACGCGCACGCCCAAGCCCGAGCACACGCAACCCCTCGCTAATCACAACAACACAACAACCTAAGCACGGGTATGAATGGAAAAGACGGGATCGGAAGACTATTACGCGGTACTACCCATAAACACCCGCGGGCAACCTCAGTCGTCGAAGGACAGCTCAGCACAACAATAGCCAGTTTGTAACAACTGGATGCGTCGTTTCAACCTGAGTGCGCATAATCGTGGACCACCTGAACAGGAACGCGCCGAGACCCGCTACTGCTGCGCCCTACGCCTTCGCCGCCCCCTACCTCCGGCCCCCTCCAGACCGCTAGCCTCGCCCCTTCCTCCACACTGCCCGTTCGTCCTTCTTCCCCTACACCTTTGCTGCCCCTCGGTCTAGCCATGAAACCCCATCTAACACCTCTTCCCAAATGCCATTCAATCCCTCATAATCACAGACACGTTTGTGACCTACCCACTTCGCCCTACCCTCGCGACACCACTCTCCTGCCCTGACGTCATATCATACCAATTCTTACACCCCGTTTATGCTCCCCTTACGTCGCCGTCACATACCCACAAAAACCACACAAGAACTACTTACACCACACTTCCCCTCATAACGTACTCGACCGGAGACCATACAATCCAAACAACCATATACATCACCCTAATAACAATGAACCGGATCCCACTAAATCAGTAAATAAACATAGCCTATTACCACCGTACCAGAACCCCTCCCGCTCAATACAACCTCCAAGCACCCACTGCAATCAGATCGCCAGCATATACCGACCCGCTCTCCCCATATTGCTCCCCTTCGCCTGCACAAAGGCCCCACTTAAACACTCTCTGCCACCTCTCCCTGCACTTCTCCCTACCTCTGTCGCACCTCCTCCTCTCTCACCTGCCTTCTCACCATCCCCTACTGCTCCACACCAACATAATAAGAACATCTCCTCGCCCCTAACACCCAATCTACCCCATGCAACTTTACTTCCAACAATCTCCCTATATTGCCTCCAAACCTTCGGGTCATAAAGCCTATCACATTCCGAGCTACCCTCTCCCCTCCTCATCATTCCAACTACCTACCCTGACCTTCTCCCTCCCCTCTTAAGCTCCCCCTTTCATTTGCCTCCCACTCTCCCTCAACTCCGGCCCTTATTCCCCTTCGTCTGCCCCTTTCGTCCCTGTCCCTCCCCTTTACCCCCCCCCTAAGTCTGACCCCTTCGTCTGCCTTTCTCTTACTGTTTCGTGTCTTCGTTGTCCCTCCTCTGTCTGGAAGGGAGAGGGTGAGGGAGAGGGAGGGTGAGGAGGGAGGGAGAGGATGAGGGAGAGTGAGGGGGAGGGAAGAGAGAGTGAGGGGAGGGGAAGAGAGTGAGGAGAGGGTGAAGGTGAGGGAGAGAGTGAGGAAGAGGGTGAGGGTGAGGGTGAGGGTGAGGGTGAGGGAGAAGAAGGTGAGGAGAGGGTGAGAGGAGGATGAATTTGTCTTTCTTCTCTTATTCTTCCCCTTCTTCCGCTTTTATTTCGTCGACTGGGTTTCTCTCCACTTCTCCCCCTTTCCCTGTATATTTTCCCTTTTTCCCCTCTTCTTCCTACTCTATCCCCTTTCCTTTTGTCCTCATCTTCCTCTTCTTTTATTTTTTCTTTCCTCATTTCTCCTTCTCCTCCATCCTTTCTTCCCTTCCCTCCTAATCTTTCCTCCTCATCCCTCTTCTTTACCCCTTGTCCTCCCTCCCTCCCTCCCTCCCTCTCTCTCCCTCCCCTCCTCCCTCTCCATCGTTCGTTATTTCATTATTTGCTTCTATCTATTTATCATCATTACCCATTACCACGCCTCCCCCCAAGTATCAGCAATATCGTCCCGTCCTTAGCTTCATACCCCCCCCCCCCCCCACCCCCATCCAGCACACCTCGTTCTGTACTCCCCCCCTCCCCCTCCCCGCCTCCCCCTTCAAGCGTCCATGCGTTAGCTGTCAACAAGGTGTCGCCCTTTAGCCCCCCTCACCTCCACCCCCCGCTCCCTCCCTCCTACTGCCTCCCCCCCCTCCCTCCCCTGATCACCTACCCTCTCCTCCCCATACCTCCATACCTACCAGCCTTAACCCTTTCCCCTAACCCCTATTCTTTATCCCCTACCCTATCCTTATCCCTATCCCTACACCCCAACCTATGAGCCTATCCTTCCCCTTCCCCTCCCCCCTCACCCTGACTTCCTGTACACGCTACCTTTCACGCACTTGTCACTCGCGTATGACAACAATACGTGACGGTCCTGATCGATGACAGATTATTTAATTATTTACATGTTTTCAGGTCCCATGTGTTGTCGTGACTGAATAAACATATATATATATATATATATATATATATATATATATATATATATATAATATATAATACATATATATATATATACATATATATTTCTTTCTTTCTTTCTTTCTTTTTTTTCTTTTTTTTTTTTCTTTTTTTCTTTTTTTTTTTTCTTTTTTTTCTTTTTTTTCTTTTTTTTCTTCTTTTTTTATTGGTTTTTATTTTTTTTCTATTTCAACTGGAAGCTTTATTTTCTTTTTCTTTCTTTCTTTCTTTCTATTTCGAGGAGGGGGTGTGGGGTTTTGAGGAAGGGGGGGTGAGGGGTAGAAAGGGGGGTTGTGGGGTTGGGTACACTGGGTGAGCGTTGGGGGGAGGGAGGGGGTGAAGGATGGGTGGTGGAGTTGAAGGACGGGTGAGGATGGAAGTTGATGGTGATAGGGTTGGGAGTTGGGGGTTGGGGGGGTTGACTTTGTGGGGATAGGTGGTGATGGTGGGAGCGGTAGAGCGTTGGGGAGCTGCACTAGGCGAGGATAGGCGGTGGGGAGGATAGGGGGCGGTAGAACGTTGGGGGCGAGCTGGGTGAGGATAGGTAGTGGATAGGACTAGAGGGATGAGGCCGTGGCGATAGAAAAGATCAGATATTGCTTTTATAAGTGATGCACACCGTATGTGGGTGTGAGTCTATATACACTGTACATATACTTTGTGTGCGTGTGCGCGGCGCGTGTGTGTGTGTGTGTGAGTGCGCGCGCGTGAATGGATGGTAGGTGGGTGACTGAGTGAGTGAGTGAGTTAATGAGGCCTAGTGAGTGAGCGAGAGTGAGAGAGTGGTTGAGTGAGTAAATGAGTAGCCGAATGAGTGACTCATCACCAAAAAAATTAACAACAAACAAACAGACAACAATAACACAAAACAACAAGAACAACAACAGCCATAAACCTCCAACTTCTACAACAAATCATCATCATCATAAACCGAATTTCTCTCTCATAACTTTCCCTTGTGACGTAATCGAAAATGTCTAAAAAAGCTATCTAAGAGAACAATCACACACACACAGACACACACACACACACACACACACACACACAACACACACACACGCACGCACGCACGCACACACACGCACGCACGCACACACACACACACACACACACGCACGCAAAAGTAGCTGCATGAGACCGCCCCCCCCCCCCGCTTCCCCCGCTGTCATGAATGTCAAAATGTCATACAAGTTTTCTGTCATCCACAAGTGAGGGTTATGTGGGTGGGGAAAGAGATGGAGGGAGAATGAGTAGGAGAAGGAGGAGAAGAAAATGGCGGAAGGGGGAGGAGGAGGAGAAGGAGGAGGAGGAGGAGGAGGAGGAGGAAGAGGAGGAGAAAGAACAGGAAGAGGAGAAGGAGGAGGAGGAGAAAGAGATAGAGGAGGAGGAGGAGGATGGGGAGGAGAAGGATGGGGAGGAGGAGGATGGGGAGGAGGAGGATGGGGAGGAGGAGGAGGAGGAGGAGGAGGAGGAGGAGGAGGAGGAGGAGGAGGAGGAGGAGGAGGACAGCAGAGGGAGGGGAGCACGAAGGGGAGAGGGGAGGAAGAGGAAAGGGGTGGAGGAGTAGGAGTTAGCGGGGAGAAGGAAGAAAAGGCGATAAAAAACACTAAACAACAATAAAACATAAACAACACAAACAACAAACCAAGACAACAACAAACAAACAACAAACATTTGACACAATGATTATGGTGAACGAAGCCCACCACACAACAGTGCCACGGCGACCTGGAAGAATAGCTTGACAGGCCGCGTCATGGAACAGTGCCATAGCGAACTGTCAAGTGGAATTGTGCCAAGTGGGAATGCTACCAATCTCACTCCCAACAGTAATGGCAATGATAATAATAATAATGTTAATAACAATAATAGTAATGATGGTTATAATGATGATAATAATTATAATAAAAATAATAATAACAATAATAATAATAAAAATTATAATAATAACAAAAAAAAATAATAATGATAATTTATAACAATGATACAAATCAATAAGAATAATGACAATAATAATATTTTTAATAATAGTAATAATGATAAAATAATATAATAATATAATAATAATAAAAATATAATAATATAAAAAATAAAAATAATACCAATAGCAATCATTATCATTATCACAATCATAAAATTAAGATCAAATAATATATAGAACTTTAACAAATTTAATAATGTTTGCAAAAATAAAATTAATGTACCCATTCAAAAAAAAAAAAAAAAAAAAAATCCCTTTTGTTTATATTCCTTTTTCCTAAATCATCTTACTATTCTCTATTTCCTCACATTTTTCTTTTTTTCCTTTTCCACTGCTTTTCCCTCCAATTTCCTGTTTTATCTTTGATTTCCCTTTACGTACTTTTATTTTCAATTCGCTTTTGTCTACGTTTCTCTTTCTCTTCCGATACCTTGCGTTTTTACATCTATGCTTTTTCCTCTTTCTTGCGGTTGTGTCTTCCCCTTGTTCTTTCCTCCCCGTTCTTTCACTCTCTGTCTAATTACAGTTTTTTATTATTTTTAAAAATCCTAATTCTTATTTTGTTGCAATTTCTCTTTATTATTTTTTTTATCTTAATTCTTGTTTTGTTGCAATTTCTCGAGTTTTCGGTTTGTTTTGATTGCGTTGTTTTGATTCATTTTTTCTTGTCTGTTCCTCATATCTTATCTTTAGTATCTCCTTTTTACCATGTTTGTTTACTCTTTTTTTCTTATCCTTTCTTTCTTCTCCGCTTCCATGTTTTTTCATTTCTTTTTTATTTTACCTTTGGTTTTTGCCTCTCTTCTTTTCTTTATTCATCTTTTTCATTTGTCCATTTGGACCAAGTCCCCCCTCTTTCTTTCTTTCTAGTTTTCTCTCCCTCTGTTTGTCTGTATTTTTATTTATTTTTTGTCTCAATTTCTTTATTTCTGTCTCTCACTCTTTCTCTCTCTCTCTCTCTCTCTCTCTCTCTCTCTCTCTCTCTCTTCTCTCTCTCTCTCTCTCTCTCTCTCTCTCTCTCTCTCTCTCTCTCTCTTCTCCAGTACCCACCTTCATTTCCTCTTCTCTTCCACCTCCGTCGTACCCTAACCCCCCCCCCCCTTCCCATCTCCATCCTTTCCAATTCCCTTCCCCATCCTCCCTCACCCATCATTTCCTACCCTCTTCCATGTCCCTTCCTAATCTATCCGTTCTTTCATTCTCTTCTCCACGTCCCTTGCTCTTTTTTCCTCTTCCTCGCCATCTTCCCTCTCCTCCTCCTCCTCGCTATCCTCTCCCCCCTTCTCTTTCTCGCCTCTCTCCCCTCTTCCTCTCCATCTTCGCATCCCCCCCCGCCTTCCTCTATCCACCTCCCCATCTTCCTACCTCCTCATCTCCCCATCCTCCCCCTTCTCCACCTCATCTTCCCCATCCTCCCCTTCCTCCTCCATCTCCCCATCCTCCCACCATCCTCATCTCCCCATCCTCCCTCCTCCTTTTCCCTCCTTCGCCTCCCCCTCCATCCCCTCCCCTCTCCTCCCCGCCTTCCTCACATAGGAAGTGCGGCGTGGCGTCGTGTAAACAATGGGTGAAGGCGCGCGCAGGTTACCATGGCGACCCAGCTAATCCGGCCTGTGTAAACATCGGCTCTCGCGCCCCTAATTTTAAAATCTTCTTAATATGCGTCAGCGACTCCAACCTCCCGTCGGTGGAGACTGTCTTGGAGGCGGCGGCGGTGCTGCTTGGTGCTGGG